TATGATACTAATACAAAAGAGAGTTCTTTGAGCCAAAAAAAAAATACATCTATTGGCGAATGACTAGTCATTTTTTTATATAGAATTGGAAATGCTTGATCAAAATGTTTATGATTTTGCCAGTAATGATGAACCACATAGGTCCCACTTGGGTCAAATGACTCGGTGGAGTTGGAAAGTTAACTGAACACTTGTCACCTTGACCCGCAGAACTCCGGACACATTGCATTTCAAGTGATGACCGCACTAAAGATAATGGATAACCTAATGATTGGTGTGGAACTTGGGGAAAATTGAATTATATTTATGAGTTATGACCAAAAAACCAAGATGTCTTGTTCTCCAGCAATTTTCTCCTGCTCCCCTTCCAGTGATTATCATGAGATTTTCTTGTACTTATTTCCTTATTATCCACTAGATTAGAATTATTTGAAATCAAACTTTAAAATTGAGGGCTATTGTTTTGTTATTAGTTTCAATTTTCACTAGTCCTTTCCATACGAAACTGACTCATCAGTACCACTCTTGCACATTAATAGTGGGGTCCAACTATCATGACACCAACTGGACACTTGTTTTCCATATTCTTTATATTTACACACCCTGCTATGATGCTTACTTTCAATGATGAAATCTTTATTTTCTTGATAATGTTGTGATAATATCTGGTAAAAATGACATGGTATTTTAAAGTCAATGTGCCGCAGTTAGGTGCTCATTGATTTCAGGTTCCGCGCAATGCTTTCTAGCGATGTCAAGCATTTAAAATAACAGTTCAAATGCTAAAATTGGTTTGATGGGATGGATGGTGGTGAAGTTTTATGACGTGCTATGGAAAGAAGCACAAACTTGGTTTTAAATGATCCCTTCAAAAAAAAAAAAAAAGTTCCTCGCTACACTATTGATAGAATGTAACTATCAAACACAGTAAGTAAGAAAATTGATAGTAAAATCTGGTTTTTAGTTGTAACTTCTGTAACCCTGTAAGTGTATTATGTAATTTTTTTTTTTTTTTTGGCAAAAAGAGTCTGATAAGCACACTATTGTACTCGTAGGTGTATGGTAGGAAGATATTATCAGATGATGGCCTTTCTTCAGTAACATAATATGTTTTTGGTGGAAAAATACAATTTTGATGTATATGTAGTATGATGTTATTTAGCTGAGTCTTTCTTTTGTTTTTCCTTTATGCTCTTTCATTTCTTATTTTTTTCTTCTTTTACACTTGAACTAAGCTGACATGAGCAAGTTAACTGACCACCCTCCAATCACATCTTCCTGTCTACCACTCGTGTAGATTGAACACTTGCAACTTGCTCCGCACTTCTACATGCAAATTCCTGAGATCTTAAATCTGTCTATCAAATTTCAATTATCCTAATTTAAATTAAAAAGGTCGTCGTGCTTTTATATACTATGAATCTTGCATTGTATCTCTACGTCCTCATAAGATTGCAGCGAATGTTTGAACTCTCAAGTTGTCTTTTTAACTGGCTTTTTTATATTTCAGAATTACAATGGGGATAAGGAGATGCTGGGAAAGTGTGAACAGGTCCGATTTTCGATGATTGGTGAAGGGAATTGCAAAAATACTGTTTCATTACTTATAGTTGTATTGGTTGCTCTTTCAGTTTTTCCTGGAACTAATGAAAGTTCCTAGAGTGAGAGTATTTGCATTCACAATAACCTTTTCTAGTCAGGTGTGTTATTTGATACTTGTTAGAAACTTGCCGAGCATTGAAATTTATTATTGGACGTAGTTTTTTATTTGCTTTGTTCTTCAGGTGACAGACTTAAAGTCTGGCCTGAATACAATCAATGATGCTGCTAGAGAGATACCTTTGTAAAGATTTGATGTTTAAACTTATTTATCGTGGGTCAACTACATCTTGATTGTCTTGTGCATCATGGCAGGTCAAAGAATCATTGAAATTACGTCAAATAATGCAGACAATTCTCACTTTGGGAAACGCTCTTAATCAGGGCATTGCACGAGGTATTAATCCCTAGAAAACTAACTTTATTGTTTGTACTTTGTTTTGGTTTCGTAGAAAAACTTTAACT